AGGAGATATGATTGCAAAAACATAGAACTGATCTTTATTGTACATTTTACTAATTACTTTTTATATTTATCTTATTTATTTAGAAAAAAGATTTGCTTTCTTCTTTTCTTCAATTATCTTCGTGTATATATTTCACTGAGTTTTAAACGTTTCTTGTGCTCCGCTGATCATAGAACGTATTTTAAAGTGGATGCACATGGTTCTCTGCAGATAGCGGAAGTACCAGGCCGGAAATATATCGCGTGATCTTTTTGGTGTGCATTCAGAATACGCAGTCTGATCTTGGCGCGCGAATGCCAAGAATCCATTGTATTTTTTAATCGTCTTGCTTTATACACATCGTAATTAATTTGTACCGTAATTTCATTATATTTGCAAAAATCCCAACACTTTACAAATTCTTGATTTTAATAGGATGGAAATTATCTCCTTTCGTTGAAAAGTAATTTTTTTTTAAACAGAATCCTTTTTCCGAAAAATATATCGGATAAATTATAAATCCCTATTATTTATTATAAAAGAATGTAAACAGATAAAATTTTTCAATTTATACTTTCATACTCATAATATTCAACTATCAATAAAAATAAAGAAATGACACACTGAACAATAAGTACCATTTCCATATTTTTATGAAGATACGTAAGCGATATATGCAAACAATGAAGAATCAAAATTATAGTATACATATCATTCCGTTCTCTATTCAAGGGTTTATATATTTGACATAGTCGTAAATTCTATTTCGGGACTGACGTTACAGACAACCGACCTGCTATTCTTACCAATCCCAATTTCGGTATCCTTATACAGATGTATAATCGCATTTGATTTTCATTTAGAAACGCCGAGTCAAACGATGCTATTTTCTTCTTATACCGAGAGCAAGTTAAGTTTCAATTAACTTACAGTAATTCCACTGGATAGTGTATATTTAAACATATATCAACCAATTAAAAAAATTATTTGGCGGAAAATTATTTATATCTGATATTTTTATACTAAAGTTTTTGCTTGTGATCATGATAGAAACTGAAAACAGTTATCGAAGAATGCATCAATTTAGAGGCAAATTGGATGCATTTTACGAGCAGCCATTGGTTCTCAAAATTACTGTACAATTACTCAATTAACTCGCGGTCATTCCTTCTTATGCAAGCTACATCATTAACATTATCCATGCATCGAGGACGACGAATAATGGAAACGTACCACCCAGAGTATATTATGCGTATATGTGGGCCGTACATTTTGCGGCGAATTTGCCAGCCGTAACGACACAACGTATAAACGAGGGCCAAGTTGCTCATTGTTAACTCCGCTATAATGTATATGTTCACATATACATTCACATAAATCGTTGCCATTTATGTAGTTGACGCGTCCGATACCTCATGTAAACGTAGACAAATTTCAGATAGTTGGAAATTTACGCAGTGAATGCGATATACAGATGTTCAATAATATTAGCCTTGTATATTTTTTATTATTTTTGATAATAGTATCAGATGAGTTCTAAATTCTCTCTCTCTCTCTCTCT